TGGGAACCGCCGTTTTCTACATTTCTAAGCATCCTGGCTTGATTTTATATTAAGGTGGCTCAAAACAGTATTATTTCCGTGAGGCGCCTAGACTCTAGCGGGCACTTCAGCACCAGGCATCACGCCATCACCCGAGGGGTCGCGAGATTAGATATATTATTATACATTGAACTCACTATCTCTTTTCTGATTGGCCGAAAGCGTACGGTGAATTTTCGAAATCAGCGCCTGAGACGTCATCTAGCTGCAGATTATACAATAATCATGTTAAGGACACTCAAGGTCACGGGTAATCATGCCATGTATGACCGCGGTGGATGATTTCTAAAGGTAATCATGTAAAGTTCGAGCGCTTTGTGTCGGTTGCCGTTTAAGTGAGGAAGCAAAAGATGACTTCCATTTTTTTGTTCAGTGTATAATAAAACAACTATTAGATTCGGCTTTCGTGAGAAGGCTTCGGCTGATAACCCTTACCAAGACCTTGATTATTCTGGATATCACAAAAACCTCATCCAATAATTGTTTAAAGTTTGCAAAAATCAAAGCAAACATGGCGGCCCGAGACCTGCTTCGTACAACTTTGTTTCCACGAAGATTAGTAAGATGTTTGTGTTATCAGTTATTTTTACCTTCGAGAACATCCATCCTTCAGGTAATTTCAAAGGAAAAACATTCTTTTAACCTTTGTGCTGGAACGTAAACGAAAATTGTGAGGTTGATGTTGCGATCGATCGCGCCGGCCATATCATTCTCAAAAAAAAAAACAGCAAGAAACTAGTCTGCAGGTTTTCTTCGTTCTTTCTACTTGGCCAGTCTCACCTTCGGGTATTTATGGAACTCCTCTTCTACCGCTTATGCTGCTAACGACAACAGCGAAAGAAAAAAAACACTATTCGCGGATCCATTGATCTGTCCGCGTGGAATTGCGGGCTTTACTGACCACCTTCACGCTTGCGCAAGGGCCGATCTTGCAAAGTCGAGATTTTAATTTGCGCGTATAGATCGCGCGCAAAAAAGTCCTTAACCACGAAGCTAATATCTCAAAAACTAATCCGGTGACCCTAATTTTGTAATGCAAAAAATTATTCAACAGCAAAATCAGTATGCATGTGCGAAATTGTAAAAAAAATTTGTGGAGTGGAAGTTCTCCAACTTGGAAATTTTCATTTTTTTTTTTTAAATTTAAGCAAAAACTACTCTACAGATTCTTTTTATAATTTCCCTGTTTCTTCTTCTATGAGTAACCAAAAGATTTTTAGAAAAAACAAATTGTGATCACCGACTTAGTCAGATGCAACTGATGGTAAAAAGTGGGTTAAGTTTGTTGCTATGCCACAGAACAGTGAAACCTTAATCTATGACTTAAACACAATGAAAGGTACAGTAGAGAGTTACCTTAAAAGAATTGCAGAGCCATTCAAAACAACACATTTCCAAGCCTGAAAAATCGCACCTAGTTCTATAAATCTAAAAAAACACACAGAAAACTGTTTTGAACCACTTTAATTTCCGTTACTTCTTGACTTTTTAAAGTGCCTATGAAGTAAAAAATAATTGCTGCTGATTTGAAAGGCTTTTCAAAGTAAAGAAGA